CTATGACCTGTAGGATGAATGTAGACCTATCTATGACTGTAGGATGACTGTAGACCTATCTATGACTGTAGGATGACTGTAGACCTATCTATGACTGTAGGATGACTGTAGACCTATCTATGACTGGTAGGATGACTGTAGACCTATCTATGACTGTAGGATGACTGAGACCTATCTATGACTGTAGGATGACTGTAGAACCTATCTATGACTGTAGGATGACTGTAGACCTATCTATGGACTGTAGGATGACTGTAGACCTATCTATGACTGTAGGATGACTGTAGACCTATCTATGACTGTAGGATGACTGTAGACCTATCTATGACTGTAGGATGACTGTGACCTATCTATGACTGTAGGATGACTGATAGGATGACGTAGACCTATCTATGACTGTAGGATGACTGTAGACCTATCTATGGACTGTAGGATGACTGTTAGACCTATCTATGACTGTAGGATGACTGTAGACCTATCTTGACTGTAGGATGACTATAGACCTATCTATGACGTAGGATGACTGTAGACCTATCTATGACTGTAGGATGACTGTAGACCTATCTATGACTGTAGGATGACTGTAGACCGATCTATGACTGTAGGATGACTTGTAGACCTATCTATGACTGTAGGATGACTATAGACCTATCTATGACTGTAGGATGACTGTAGACCTATCTATGGACTGTAGGATGACTGTAGAACCTATCTATGACTGTAGGATGACTGTAGACCTATCTATGACTGTAGGATGACTGTAGACCTGTCTATGACTGTAGGATGACTGTAGACCTATCTATGACTGTAGGATGACTGTAACCTATCTAGACTGTAGGATGACTGTAGACCTATCTATGACTGTAGGATGACTGTAGACCTATCTATGACTGTAGGATGACTGTAGAGCCTATCCTTGACTGTAGGATGACTGTAGACCTATCTATGACTGTAGGATGACTGTAGGATGACTGTAGACCTATCTATGACTGTAGGATGACTGTAGACCTATCTATGACTGTAGGATGACTGTAGACCTATCTATGACTGTAGGATGACTGTAGACCTATCTATGACTGTAGGATGACTGTAGACCTATCTATGACTGTAGAATGACTGTAGACCTATCTATGACTGTAGGATGACTGTAGACCTATCTATGACTGTAGGATGACTGTAGACCTATCTATGACTGTAGAATGACTGTAGACCTATCTATGACTGTAGGATGACTGTAGACCTGTCTATGACTGTAGGCTGTAACTGGACCCATAACGACCAAGCAAAAACAGTTTCATAGACATTTTAGCAAATGTATTAAAAAATTCAACTGAAATATCACATTTACATAAGTATTCAGACCCTTTACTGAGTACTTTGTTGGGTATTTGGGGAGTTTCTCCCATTCTTCTCTGCCGCTCCTCTCAAGATCTGTCAGGTTGGATGGGGAGCGTCGCTTCACAGTTATTTTCAGGTCTCTCCAGAGATGTTAGATCGGGTTCAAGTCCAGGCTCTGGCTGGGCCACTCAAGGACATTCAGAGACTTGTCCCGAAGCCACAAGCTTCCCACAATAAGTTGGGGGAATTTTGTCAGATTCCTCCTGACAGAGCTGGTGTAACTGAGTTAGGTTTGTAGGCCCCCTTTTTCCTCCAAACATAACGATGGTCATTATGGCCAAACAGTTCTATTTTTGTTTCATCAGACCAGAGGACATTTCTCCAAAAAGTACGATCTTTGTCCCCCTGTGCAGTTGCAAACCGTAGTCTGGCTTTTTTATGGCGGTTTTGGAGCAGTGGCTTCTTCCTTGCTGAGCGGCCTTTCAGGTTATGTCGATATAAGACTCGTTTTACTGTGGATATACATACTTTTGTACCTGTTTCCTCCAGCATCTTCACAATGTCCTTTGCTGTTGTTCCGGGATTGATTTGCACTTTTCGCACCAAAGTACGTTAATCTCTAGGAGACAGAACGCATCTCCTTCCTGAGCGGTATGAAGGCTGTGTGGTCCCATGGTGTTTATACTTGCGTACTATTGTTTGTACAGATGAACGTGGTACCTTCTGGCGTTTGGAAATTGCTCCCAAGGATAAACCAGACTTGTGGAGGTCTACAATTTTTTTTCTGAGGTCTTCGCTGATTTCTTTTGATTTTCCCATGATGTCAAGCAAAGAGGCACTGAGTTTGAAGGTACGCCTTGAAATACATCTACAGGTACACCTCCAATTGACTCAAATTATGTCAATTATCCTATCAGACGCTTCTAAAGCCATGACATCATTTTCTGGAATTTTCCATAGCTGTTTAAAGGCACAGTCAACTTAGTGTATGAAAACTTCTGACCCACTGGAATTGTGATACAGTGAATTATAAGTGAAATAATCTGTCTGTAAACAATTGTTGGAAAAATTACTTGTGTCATGCACAAAGTAGATGTCCTAACCGACTTGACAAAACTATAGTTTGTTAAAAATACATTTGTGGAGTGGTTGAAAAATGACTTTTAATGACTCCAACCTAAGTGTATGTAAACTTCCGACTTCAACTGTAGACAGGTGTGTGCCTTTCCAAATCATGTCCAATCAATTGAATTTACCACAGGTGGACTCCAATCAAGTTGTAGAAACATCTCAAGGATGATCAATGGAAACAGGATGCACCTGAGCTCAATTTCAAGTCTCATAGCAAAGGGTCTGAATACTTATGTAAATAAGGTATTTTTTATTTTATTTTATTTTGCACACATTTCTAAAAACCTGTTTTCGCTTTGTCATTATGGGCTATTGTGTATATATTGTTGAGGATTTAAAAAAATATTTAATCCATTTTAGAATAAGGCTGTAATGTAACAAAATGTGGAAAAAGGGATGAGGTCTGAATACTTTCCGAATGCACTTTATATATAAAATGTGGACACCCCTTCAAATGAGTGTATTCGGCTATTTCAGCCACACCCGTTCCTGATAAAATCGATCACACAGCCATGCAATATCCATAAACAAACATTGGCTGTAGAATGGCCCGTACTGAAGAGCTTAACGTGACTTTCAACGTGGCACCGTCATAGGATGCCACCTTTCCAACAAGTCAGTTAGTTACATTTCTGCCCTGCTAGAGCTGCCCCGGTCAAGTGCTGTTATTGTGAAGTGGAAACGACTCAGCCGCGAAGTGGTAGGCCACACAAACTCACAGAACGGGACCGCCAAGTGCTGAAGCGCGTAGCACATAAAAACTGTATGTCCTCGGTTGCAACACTCACTACTGAGTTCCAAACTGCCTCTGGAAGCAACGTCAGCACAATAACTGTTCGTCGGGAGCTTCATGAAATGGGTTTCCATGGCCGAGCAGCCACACACAAACCTAAGATCACCATGTGCAATGCCAAGCGTCGGCTGGAGGGTTGTAAAGCTCGCCGCCATTGGACTCTGGAGCAGTTGAAACGCGTTCTCTGGAGTGATGAATCACGCTTCACCATCTGGCAATCTGACGGACAAATCTGGGTTTGGCGGATGCCAGGAGAATGCTACCTGCCCGAATGCATAGTGCCAACTGTAAAGTTTGGTGGAGGAGCAATAATAATCTGGGGCTGTTTTTCATGGTTCGGGCTAGGCCCCTTAGTTCCAGTGAAGGGAAATCTGAACGCTACCGTATACAATGACATTCTTGATGATTCGGTGCTTCCAAATTTATGGCAACAGTTTGGGGAAGGCCCTTTCCTGTTTCAGCATGACAATGCCCCCGTGCACAAAAGCGAGGTCCATACAGAAATGGTTTGTCGAGATCGGTGTGGAAGAACTTAACTTGCCTGCACAGAGCCCTGACCTCAACCCCATCAAACACCTTTGGGATGAATTGGAACACCGACTGCGAGCCAGGCCTAATCGCCCAACATCAGTGGCCGACCTCACTAATGCTCTTGTGGCTGAATGGAAGCAAGTCCCCGCAGCAATGTTCCAACATCTAGTGGAAAGCCTTCCCAGAAGAGTGGAGGCTGTTATAGCAGCAAACGGGGGACAAACTCCATATTAATACCCATGATTTTGGAATGACATGTTCGACGAGCAGGTGTCCACATACTTTTGGTCATGTAGTGTATGTGTGAATAGTCCAATGTATGGAATTGTCGGGATAGTCTACCTTAAACAGCTCCCAGCCATATCTAGGCCTGTGTATTAAACAGCTCCCAGCCATATCTAGACCTGTGTATTAAACAGCTCCCAGCCATATTTAGGCCTGTGTATTAAACAGCTCCCAGCCATATCTAGGCCTGTGTATTAAACAGCTCCCAGCCATATTTAGGCCTGTGTATTAAACAGCTCCCAGCCATATCTAGGCCTGTGTATTAAACAGCTCCCAGCCATATCTAGGCCTGTGTATTAAACAGCTCCCAGCCATATCTAGACCTGTGTATTAAACAGCTCCCAGCCATATCTAGGCCTGTGTATTAAACAGCTCCCAGCCATATCTAGGCCTGTGTATTAAACAGCTCCCAGGCTTATCTAGGCCTGTGTATTAAACAGCTCCCAGCCATATTTAGGCCTGTGTATTAAACAGCTCCCAGCCATATTTAGGCCTGTGTATTAAACAGCTCCCAGCCATATCTAGGCCTGTGTATTAAACAGCTCCCAGCCATATTTAGGCCTGTGTATTAAACAGCTCCCAGCCATATCTAGGCCTGTGTATTAAACAGCTCCCAGGCTTATCTAGGCCTGTGTATTAAACAGCTCCCAGCCATATTTAGGCCTGTGTATTAAACAGCTCCCAGCCATATTTAGGCCTGTGTATTAAACAGCTCCCAGCCATATCTAGGCCTGTGTATTAAACAGCTCCCAGCCATATTTAGGCCTGTGTATTAAACAGCTCCCAGGCTTATCTAGGCCTGTGTATTAAACAGCTCTCAGGCTTATCTAGGCCTGTGTATTAAACAGCTCCCAGGCTTATCTAGGCCTGTGTATTAATGTATGTATGACTGTAGAACTATATTTTTAAAAATGTACTGTCCCTATGATTGTAGGCTCCATACCTTGAAGGGCTCCCCAGCAGTGAAGGGGAAGTATGCCAGGGTGTTCTCTGATGTCCCCCAGCTCCCAGCCAGACGAGCGTTCCTCTGCACAGCCTTATCCAGGAAGTTGACCTTTACCTGCAAACCCACGTCTCCCTCAAAGTCCTCTTCCACCGGATCACTGGACAGGGACACCACCATGCTGGGCAGAATAAACAGTGAGGTCAGTGATTGCTGCAATGGTGCAGATGCAAAATGCAAGCAAACAATCCAAACGTTGTTGATTTAAATGCCCAGGGCAGTCAAAAAATGTGAATTTCCTGTGTTTTACATTTATATATTTTAGTCATTTAGCAGACGCTCTTATCCAGAGCGACTTACAGTTAGTGAGTGCATCCATTTTTTTTTCTCCATACTGGTCCCCCGTGGGAATCGAACACACAACCCTGGCGTTGCAAGCGCCATGCTCTATCAACTGAGCTACACACTCTGAGGTTGGAATAATACTGCGAAATTGTGAAAATTATATAAAATAATGCCTTTTTAGTGTAAGAGCTGTTTTAAAAGACCGCCTGAAATTTCAGCCTGTTTTGGTGGGATGGAGTTTTGGCCTTCCATGGTGACATCACCACAGTAAATTAGTTAATAGACCAATAAGAAAGAGAGTTCCAAACCTCTCTGCCAATAACATCTAGTTCAGTTTTCCCCTCCCCACTCAGACCACTCCCAGACAGTCGTAGCAAAATTCTTGCTTGAGAAATGGCTCTTTGCAAAGAAAACAATCACAGTAAGGTACTTCATAACCAGAAATGATTTGATATTGAGATTTAAAAAACGGCAACAAAAAAATATACAGCTACAGAGATACAGTGGTGACATCCTCTGGCTATTTGACGTCACCACAAGCTGTGAGTACAGTACCAGGCTACCGTTATTAGCTAGTTTAACCGGTATGAAATGGCTAGCTAGTTAGCGGTGAGCGCTAGTAGCATTTCAATCGGTGACGTCACTCGCTCTGGGACCTTGAAGTAGTTGTTTCTTCCTTGCTCTGCAAAGGGCCGCGGCTTTTGTGGAGTGACGGGTAACGGTGCTTCGAGGGTGACTGTTGTCGATGTGTGCAGAGGGTCCCAGGTTCAAGCCCAGGTAGGGGCGAGGAGAGGGATGGAAGCAACGATGGGCTGAATAACTTCAAGAGTCAAGTATTTAGGGCAGGCACAAAGGACAAACACTTTAGTGACTTTAAAATTCACACATTAGAACTGAGATTGCTTTATATTCTTCTTCACTGATTTTTTTTATTTATAAATGGTAAAAGGCCAAATAAGGGGATATTGATCTTATCTCCCCACAGAGCTGCTGCTAGCAGAAGTCAAGCTCACCAAACCCTTCATGGGTTCTGAAAATGTTCCACGTATTGAATTAAACAATGCATCAGTCAATTAGACAAATATTTAAGACTACAAAGAGAGCAAAGAAAGAGAGTGAAGAAAGAGAGTGAAAAATGCTGTGAATGGTTGCTAAATCAGAAAGCTCAAATGCTCATAAGGAATTATATTCTACAATTTGCACTCTGGATATTTACTTTCTCTTGCAGTATTGTGAAATTGCATTGCCCGGAGCTATAGCATCTCGATGTAGCAGCAGCTTCAGTCCCTCCTGATCTCAACTCAACTACACGGTGTGTTGCGCTGCACAATCCTCCCATTGTCTCTGTGTCTGCCTTGGCCGTGGACTTGCAAATGTCAAATGCAGACAGTCCATTCATTCACTCGCGACACGCTCAGATTCAAAACGGTAAATTAACAATTCATTTCCTTAGGCTACAGAAGAGACATTTAAAACAGGTGTCTGTCTACCAACCTCTGGGGCTTCTTGTTAACAATTCCCATGACAACCAGTCTCATCGTGGGCCGCAGCCCACCTTTTATTTCTCCGACATACTCCTCCTGAAACATAGTGGCTGGGAATAAGGCTACATGCAACATATAAATAATATTATTCTTAGATATCACCACATTGGTTAGCTGAATGACATCCGCCGTTGAAAATACACTGTTTTCTTTATCCATTAGAAGGTTTTTCTTTGAAATAGGTGAAATAGCTGATCAGTCTTAATCGATGATCCCTTTTCGGAATTCTAAGAATGCTCCATGTAAACTCTATCACTAAACAACAGTGATAAACAAGAAACAATTCAGTGTGCACTATTCTTGCTACCAAATATTCCATTGGGGTAGATGGATTTCATTCTTCTTCAATATAATGTAATTATATGAAGAAGAAAAAAAAAAAGCAGTTGCATACAGTTGTTTTGTGATAACCTAATAATCTCATTTTTTTTTTAAATCACGACATTCCAACATGCATCAGTCGAAAATAAAACTGTAATCCAAACAAAGCAATAGGGAAAACCGGACTTACATTTTCTTTCTTGTCCTTTTCTGCCATTCCCCTTCTCCTTTCTTTCAATGTGAGATGTCTACACCGGGTGGTGTTGGAGCGTGAAACCGTAGTAGAGATGGCAAACCCCGCCTTCTGCTCGTTGTCATAGCGACAGGCTCCTGCCAAATAAGCGGCACTTGAATGATGGTTATCAAATATTAATAGAAATACCGAAATAAGTGTGATGAGGGTGCGTGATCCCACTCATCAAGGGTGGGACCCTTTCATTCCAATAGGGTATTTAAAACACAGTTAATAATAATGCTGTTCACTCATAACGTGAAATAACTCCCAAATGGGAGATTTCACCCCAACCTGCCAACCATTATAATAAAACAAATATCAAATGAGTTTCTCAGATTTGAGTAGGCTTAGGTCTATGATGAATATATACATTGGACAACAATAATAGCCTATAATATGATAAAGAAACTCATGTCTGATGATGGTCCTCTGTAGCTCAATTGGTAGAGCATGGCGCTCGTAACACCAGGGTAGTGGGTTCGATCCCCTGGACCACCCATACGGAAATATGTATGCACACATGACTGTAAGTCGCTTTGGATAAAAGCGTCTGCTAAATGGCATATTATGATGAGCTTTCTAATGGTTGCCAGTTTGGTTTGGGGTGGAAAACTCCCTCTTCCCATATGCAATTAGACAACCCATCTATATAGCTGTGCCTATTAGAGCGTCTGTGACAGCATTGGCAGCGCCTTTGAGGCTATAACCCACGGGAATACCCACCCAGAATACCCACCCAGTTGGCTATTTCCACTACTGTAGCTCAATTGGTAGAGCATAGTGCTTGTAACGCCAGGGTAGTGGGTTCGATCCCCGGGACCACCCATACGTAAAAACGTATGCACACATGACTGTAAGTCGCTTTGGATAAAAGCGTCTGCTAAATGCCATATTATTATTACATGGTGGAAGCCCTAAAACGGCCAGCAGCGTTGCAGTTCTTGACACAAACTGGTGCGCCTGCTGCCTGGCACCTACTACCGTACCCCGTTCAAAGGCACTTAAATATTTTGTCTTGCCCATTCACCCTCTGAATGGGCACACATACACAATCCACGTCTCAATTCTCTCAAGGCTTAAAAATGATTATTTAACCTGTCTCCTCCCCCTTCATCTACACTGATTGAAGTGGATTTAACAAGTGACATCAATAAGGGATCATAGCTTTCACCTGGTCAGTCTGTCATGGAAAGAGCGGGTGTTCTTAATGTTTTGTACACTCGGTGTAAGTATTAGTAGAAGAAAAGGGAATACTTCAAAATGGAGATGCCCTCAATGGCGCTGGGTCATCACTAGTTACCATAGCTACAAAGTCATAATTATGGCTAAACCCTGTCTATTTCTACAATTATCTTCTTAAAATCTGATGTTAACCCTAACCACACTGCTAACCTTATGCCTAACCTTAAATTAAGACCAAAAATATATTTAGTTTTTGTTTTCATGATTTTTTACGATATAGCCACAATGATGCGATGTTTATCTAATTATGGCCTAAACTCATTGAAAGGCGAGCGTGAGTGTAATTTATTTTAGAATGCATTGTTTTGAAGTATAATGATCCAACCGAAGCCGGGCGGCTAGTTGTCCGTTTTGACGTATAATGACCCAACCGAAGCCGAGCGGGCTGGTTGTCCGTTTTGACGTATAATGACCCAACCGAAGCCGGGCGGCTAGTTGTCCGTTTTGACGTATAATGACCCAACCGAAGCCGGGCGGGCTGGTTGTCCGTTTTGAAGTATAATGACCCAACCGAAGCCGGGCGGGCTGGTTGTCCGTTTTGAAGTATAATGACCCAACCGAAGCCGGGCGGGCTGGTTGTCCGTTTTGACGTATAATGACCCAACCGAAGCCGGGCGGGCTGGTTGTCCGTTTTGAAGTATAATGACCCAACCGAAGCCGGGCGGGCTGGTTGTCCGTTTTGACGCCTCGCTCAATTAGAATGTGTCTCTCTATTTTAGCGATTTATTTCTGGCGCTGTAGTCACACAAAACAAAACACTCATTTGAATTGTAAAAGGTAGCTACGGGTTGAGGCTTTACCGTACATGCTAAATTATGGTAACACAACATCCCTATCAACAAAGATGATTGGAGATATGGACTATCCTGCTAGCATACAGTCACTGCTCTAAAACTGTACCAAATACGAAACTCTGTGCTTGTACTGTCTTTGTTAAAAAGGCGACACCACAGTTATCCATTATTAAAACCAGTTACTCTAGTGCCGGCTCTAACAATGATGGAAGGCAAGAACAGATGGGACCATTCTAGCCAATGAGAGAGCAGATAAGTGTGTAAACAACAGACACGTAGGTTTCCACTATTTACCACAGCCACAATGTCAAAATTGGCTACATCGTAAAAAATTCATGAAAAGAAACATTTGCTTTTTGGTTTTAATTTAAGGTTAGGGTTAGGTACAAGGTTAGCAGTGTGGTTAAAGTTAGCTTTAAAATCCACATTTTAAGAAGATACATTTTAGAAATAGGCGGGGTTTATGACTTCGTGGCTGTGTTAACTAGTGACGACCTAGCCCAATATTGGACTAAAGGAGCCTAAAATGTAACTGGACACCAGTGGCGGTTGGTGACGTTTAAGATAAGGGAGGACAATTATTATTATAATAATTTTTTGCATGGGCTTATCTCTATTACAGCATATTGGATGGCTGTCATTCATATTCCATTCATCCGGCTCAATGTAACATCGATAGGTTTTTGGCTACTACATGACATTTTCCCTATACCCATCATGAGGTTGCTACAACCTAGCCTACGAGAGACAAATTGTAGTAATCAAGATGACAGATAGTGCCACATTCAATACCGCCTTGCACACTCTTGCGTGCATCTAGCTGATCTAGGGTGTATTCATTAGTCCAAACGGTTGCAAAAATGAGAGTTTCTGTTGGACAAATGCAGGTATGTTTATCCCCGTTTCGTTCCGTTTGCTTCCGTTTATGAAATGTTTTTAGACAGAATCGTCGGGAATGAATACATCCCTAATCACCCGCACACACAGTTCACTTTAATAGCAGCTCTCCTCTCACCAGCTCTCCTCTCACCTTTTTCCCTTTGCTTGTGGACTTCAGTGCACAACACATCAGCTGTCTGTGACCAGGTGGGAGAAAAAAATAACTTTCCAAGCCAAACCTTCATACCATAACCGCTACACACAGCCCACATCATTGTCACCATATTAGATAATGTCATAGTCAACATAGCTACTGTAACTAATGCGTTAGTAAACCCGCTACAGTACAGTGTACAGCAAGCAGTTTAGCAGGTGCACCAGTGGGCCCGGTGGCAATACATTAATACAACCGAAAGCTTACCTTGACTTGGAAGAGTTCCAGTGTTGGATAGCCTTAGCCAGCTAGCTAACATAAATAGCATTCTTCTCTGTTTGAGCCGGTGTTTGAGTAGGCTAAATTAGCTAGCTGCATTAGCAGAAATGACCGTTTTGAATCAGTAAAGATTACTCACGCGACGTCTACATGCCAGTGTTTAATAAAATGATATTTTAACGTACTTTACCGGTTGTCCTTGCGGTTGGTCCTTTTGGCGGTAGGAATGTGAGACAATATATCCACAGGAAAGTATAATTACATCAACTTTTCAAAGCACTGGTATAGAGGGGTTGGTTGTTTATTCAACAAAACCGATGATGCGTGCGCAACTATGGGGCAAAACAGATGAAGTTGGCTTAGATTGTTGACAACATGTTAGCTATATTTAGTCTCCAATGTTTAATGAAAACATAAATACATTTGCACAATGAGCACTTGTTGTCTCTCAAATACATTGTTTCAGTTGTTGGTTAGCTAGCTAGCTAATTTTAGCCATGTTAGTATTGACATGAAATCAGTCAAAACAAGACATGGTGTCAAGAATAAGATTAAACTAGCTGAAACTAGCAACTTACAATTCCCCACATGGCAGTTTCTTGTCCTTCTTGCTACTAGCAATCTGGCCACCTAGAATCACAACAACACGCTGACTTCTGCCCCATGGAAGATTGCACATCATTTTTTTGTAGTGTTGTCAGCTAAGCCGTCCGTTGCATTTAGATTTCTATCACATGCAGTGGTGGAAAAAGTACACAAGTATTTTGACTTAAGTACTTTACACCACTGGTAGCTAGCCCATTCATAGACGCTAGCCTATTGATGAAGGTATGTTCTTCCCAAAATACTTTTGTTAAGAGCCCCGATGCTTGCACTAAACCAGGGTTGGGCAACTTTGATGGGGGTGCGGACCTTAAAAAATATGAACTCATCATGAGGGGTTCAGTGGTTCTCGGGTCTGTGTACCCACATCCATATCTGCTCATCACCTGGCCAATACCATCCCTACGGTGAAGCATGGTGGAGGCAGCATCATGCTGTGGGGATGTTTTTCAGTGGCAGGGACTGGGAGACTAGTCAGGATCAAGGGAAAGATGAACGGAGCAAAGTACAGAGAGATCCTTGATGAAAACCTGCTCCAGAGCGCTCAGGACCTCCGACTGGGGCGAAGGTTCACCTTCCAACAGGACAACGACCCTAAGCACACAGCAGGAGTGGCTTCTGGACAAGTCTCTGAATATCCTTGAGTTGCCTGGACTTGAACCCGATCGAACATCTCTGGAGAGAGTTGAAAATATCTGTGCAGCAACGCTCCCCATCCAACCTGACAGAGCTTGAGAGGATCTGCAGAGAAGATTGGGAGAAACTCCCCAAATACAGGTGTGCCAAGCTTGTAGCGTCATATCCAAGAAGACTCGAGGTTGTAAATGTTGCCAAAGGTGCTTTAACAAAGTACTGATTTAACTAAGGGTCTGAATACTTATGTAAATGTGATATTTCCGTTTTTTGTCATTATGGGGCATTGATTGAGGAATTGAATCCATTTTAGAATAAGGCTGTAACGTAACAAAATGTGGGATAAATCAAGGGGTCTGAATACTTTCCGAATGCATTGTATAACTAAATGTATAGCTAGCAACATGTGGATAACCAACTAGCTAGATGGAAAATGGTTGTTGAAAATGGTTGTACACAGTGGCGGCTCCTGAAAAAATTCTCAGGAGGGGCAATTTTTCTGATGATTTAGGTGACCTACACACATTTAAAAAAAGATATGTCCTGCAACAACATGAAGACAGGGGCAGCATATAAGTCAATACCAGAAGCATTTATTGACTGATCTGGGGAGATGGATTCCAGTTTCTGTGACAGATTATAAATAATCTCTGATGCCTTTGTTATATTAGCTTTTGGTTGAATGTACTGTCGTAGTAAATATATAATGTTATAGCTTGGTCTGACTAAAATCTTGTGCATGACCCATTTTGTGTTGGGCGTTTGTTTTCAATCAATGCTGTTCCTATCCTATAACAATGGACAAAAGAGTCCTATCTTGTCAGCCTTGTCAGCAGGTGGCCAAGGACAACACCCACGCCATAGGTCTCTCAGTTCTTCCAACTCACGAGTTCTTGCTCTGAGGACACACACACACACACACACACACACACACACACACACACACACACACATCATCACTGATAACACACACACACACACACATCATCACTGTTAAACACACACACACACACACACACAAAAATCCCCTCTCTTTAGGCTGAACATTTGAAGACAGAGAACCCGACTCAGAGCCAATGCAACAGTGGAGGGGACCTCGCCCAACTCATCAGGACCAATCAGAAGATCAGAACTACTAGATTCAACCTACATCATTTATTGTATAAAATGTCTGCACACAATGTTTTCGGGGCTCTCTTCAGATAGCTCCCTAAGAGTTTGACGAACGAGTCCGTGCACGCGATTCCAGATATCTTTACCTCTGAATAAACTGCCTTTATTATACCATATCCACCCTGTCCAAAGTCTCTACTTGGTCTCAGTTCTCCAGTAAACTTGTGATTATCAACAGTACACAACGGTAACAAACAATTGGGGGAACTCACGGGGCAGATAGTAAGGTCGCAGTGACACAGAAAGCAGTTCAATGTCGGGGGTACAGAGTCGCTCTCTTACCAGGATCGATTTTCCCTGTGACTGTGTCAGATCGCGGTCCGCTCTGACCAGGGTGAAGCCGGCCGGCTCCACTTCTCTGTCCGGGACTCTGTCATCCAGCCAAGTCTCCCAGCTGTATTGGATTCCGCTGCCAGCAGCGTTTTCATTATTTAGTCCGTTCGTAGCGGGTATGTACACGATCAACAAGATCAGTCCAAAACCCACCACTGGAAATCCATGGTTGGCAGAATGTTTGTAAACTAAGTGTACAAATTAAAAACATAAAATAACGCCACTAAGTGTACAAATTAAAAACATAAGATAACGCCACACTGCAGGTCGCAACAGAGACGCTGCTAGCCGCTATTTTCTTAGTTACGTTCATGGTTACGTCACGTATGACGAAAGCGCGTAAGTGCAAGCCCACAGACACCCATAGAGATTGTATTGAAAGCTTTGAAATTTGAAAAAAAATAGATTTTACATGGGAGTCTATGACAGACTTCTGGGCGATTTTCAACATGACTGAAATCGCCCCAAAAACGGGCGGGGCCATTTGAAGCACGACTTTAGCCTGATTTGACATTTAGTGGCAGTCAGATCAGATTAGAACACTGATAACTACTGTTGCCGTGATATAATTGATTAGAAAAAAAATCCCTTCCTTTTCCCGTTTGGCAGTGCGTCGCCCATATCGCCCTATTGAACACACCGCCCCTGGTTGTACATAGCAAAATCCTTCCATGTAATAGAAGCTAACTGCTTAACGTTACCCTGAATTGTACATTTCTTTGCCCCCTATGAATGTTGCGCCTCTTGTCGAGATCAGTGGTGCTGTCTTAGTACTTCGCCTGGTTGGAAAGATAAAATCAAATTTCCTCGAGGGATGCCATTGAAGTGCCAGCTACATACAAACAGAAAGCTACAGTAACAGTCAGCTAGCTAGTTAATGTTAGCTAAATGCTAGCTAGCTGACTAGGCAGGCTGTGCTAAATAAGTACAGTAGCTAGCAATGTCAGTCTAAAAAACAG